TTCAAAGATAATTATTTCAGAACACTATCGTCTGTATAAGTAAAGCACATAAAAGAAAGTGATTGTGCCAAAGCAAACTCAATTGACGAATATTTCTGTGATAGACGAGAAAACAAAAGAAACCTCAATTGTTTCAATTAGAAAAACGACCCCTCCTATGAGCCAAATTTTAAAAAAAATTAATTTCATCAATCTAATCTTTATTCTTATACCAAGTAAACACATTATAGGGAATGATTGGTGAAACGAAACTCAATCAAAAGAATAGTTTCCGAGATAGACGGATACAAAAGAAACCTCAATTGTTCAACTTATAAAACGAGCCCCCCCGTTACTGCCAATTTCAAAAAATATTAATTTACGACATTGCTATCTATAATTCTGTATACAAGTAGAAACATTAAGATGAATTGATAGGGCTAAAGCCAAACTCCAATCAGAAACGAATATTTACCGAAGAGACGGGAAGAACAAAGGAACCTCAACTGATTTCAAGTTGATAAATTCCCACCCCTTCTTACGTGCCAAATTTCGAAAAATATTTAAATTCATCACCAGGCTATCTGTAAACTGTACAAGATAGAAACACATTAAAGAGAAATTAATAGGTCTAAGCAATGCTCCAATCAGACCGAATATTTTACCGAGATAAGCGAGATACAAATAACCTCAATTGTTTAACAAAAACCGCATCTCCCTTACGTTGCCAAATTTCGAAAAAAATATTATTTTACACTATTATCGTAATTCTGTATACAAGTAAAACACATTAATAGAAATTGATTTTTGAAAGCCAACTCCAATGTGACGAATACTTTCTGAGAAAGACATATACAATGGAACCTCCAATGTTCAAGTTACAAAACAATATGCTAAATTCGAAAAATATTAATTTCGGCACTGCTATTGAAATTTATGTATACAAGTAAAACACATAAGAAATTGATTGTGCAAGCAATCTCATTTTAGAAGAATAGTTTTCCGAGAATAGACGAGATACAAAGGAACCTCAATTGTTCAAGTACAAAACGACCCCTCCATTATGTGCCAAAGTCGAGAAAAAATTAATTTCAGCACTTATATCGGTAATTCTGTGACAAGTAAACACATTAAAGAAATGATTTGTGCTAAAGCAAACTCTAATAGACGAATATTTCACGGATGGACGAGGAAAAAGTGACTTCAATTTGCAAAGTACAAAACGACCCCCCCCTTACTGTGCAAATTTCGAAAAAAATTAATTTCAGCACTGCTATTGTCAGTTTGTCTGTGGATGGCAAGTGGTAACACATTAAACAGAATATTGATTGCTGAAAAGCAAAATCCAATAGACGAATAGATTCGAGATAGACGAGATACAAAAGGAACCTCAATTTTCAAATTGCAAAACGACTCCCCCCCCTTACGTGCCAAATTTCGGAAAATATTTAATTTCACGCCTGCTATCTGTATTCTGTATAGAAGTAAAAACCCATTAAAAGAAATTGATTGGTGCAAACAAAACTCAAATAAGACGAATAATTTCCGAGATAGACGAGATACAAATAACCTTAATTTTTCAAGTTACAAAAACGACCCTCCTTATTATGCCAAATTTCAAAAAAAAAATTAAATTCAGCACTGCTATCTGTAATTCTGTATACAAGTTTATAACACATTAAAAGATATTGATTTTGCAAAGCAAACTTCAATCACACGAATATAGTCCGAGATAGACCGATATACTAAAAAGGAACCTCAAATGTTCAAGTTACAAAAACGATCGTCCATATTTCGAAAAATATTAATTTCGGCACTGCTATCTGAAATTATGTATACAAGTAAAATACATTAAAAAAAATTGATTGGTGCAATGCAATTTCATATCAGACGAATAGTTTCCGAGATAGACGAGATACAAAAGAAACCTCAATTGTTCAAGTTACAAAACGACCTCTCCTTATGTGCCAAATTTCAGAAAAAAATTAATTTCAGCACTGCTATCTCTAATTCTGTATACAATTCAAATGCATTAAAAGAAATTGATTGGTGCAAAGCAAACTCCAATCAGACGAGTAGTTTCCGAGATAGACGAGATAGTCTTGTATTAATATTCTTATAATTTCTTTGACTATTGGAGTTTTGTTTGCACCATCAATTTCTTTTAATGTGGTTTGACACGTGTACAGAATTACAGATGCAAGTGCTGAAATTATATTGTTCGAAATTTGGCACGTTAAGGGGGGGGGTCGTTTTGTAACTGTAACAATTGAAGGGTTTCTTTTGTATCTCGTTCTATCTCGAAAACTACTTCGCTGATTGGAGTTTGGCTTTGCACCAATCAATTCTTTTAATGCATTTGAATTTTGTATACAGAATTAAGCAGATAGCAGTGCTGAAATTAATATTTTTTCGAAATTGCAGATAAGGGAGGTCAGTTTGTAACTTGAACAATTGACCGTTTCTTTTGTATCTCGTCTATCTCAAACTATTCGTCTGATATGAAATGCATTGCACCAATCAATTTTTTTAATGTATTTTACTGTATACATAATTTCAGATAGCATGCCGAAATTAATATTTTTCGAAATATGGCACGATCGTTTTGTAACTTGAACATTTGAGGTTCCTTTTTGTATATCGTCTATCTCGAACTATTTCGTGTGATGTGAGTTTGCTTTGCAAAATTCAATATTCTTTAATGTGTTTATACTTGTATACAGAATTACAGATAGCAGTGCTGAAATAATTTTTTTTTGAATTTGGCATAATAAGAGAGGGTCGTTTTTGTAACTTGAAAAATTAAGGTTCTATTTGTATCTCGTCTATCTCGGAAATTATTCGTCTGATTAGTTTTGTTGCACCAATCAATTTCTTTTAATGGGTTTTACTTCTATACAGGAATTACAGATAGCAGGGCTGAAATTAATATTTTCCGAAATTTGGCACGTAAGGGGGGGGTCGTTTTGCAATTGAAAATTGAGGTTCCTTTTGTATCTCGTCTATCTCGAATCTATTCGTCTGAGTGTATTTTGCTTTTCAGCAATCAATATCTTTTAATGTGTTAACTTGTACACCAAGAAATACAAATAGCAGTGCTGAAATTAATATTTTTTCGAAATTTGCACGTTAAGGGGGGGCGTCGGTTTTGTACTTTGCAAAATTGAAGTTCCTTTTTACCTCGTCCATCCGAAAATATTCGTCTGATTAGAGGTTTGCTTTTGCAACAAATCATTTCTTTTAATTGTGTTTTTACTTGTCACGATTACCGATAATAAGTGCTGAAATTAACTTTTTTTCTGAACTTTGGCCACATAAAGGAGGGTCGTTTTGTACTTAACAATTGAGTTCCTTTGATCTCGTCTATCTTGGAAAACTATTTCTTCTAAAATAGATTGCTTGCACAATCAATTTTCTTTATGTGTTTACTTTATACATAAATTTCAAATAGCCAGTGCCGAAATTAATATTTTTCGAATGTTACCATATTTTTTGTAAGCTTGAACATTGGATCAGTTCCTTATTGTATATGCGTCCTTTCTCAGAAAGATTCGTCACATTGGAGTTTGCTTTTCAAAAATCAATTTCTAATTAATGTGTTTTACCTTGTATACAGAATACAGATAATAGTGTAAAATAATATTTTTTCGAAATTTGGCAACGTAAGGGGAAAAATCTTCCTTTCTTCTTTTTATTTTTTTTTTTTT